CCCCAAAACCCCAAAACCCCAAAACCCCAAAACCCCTGGGTGAAGAGAGCAAGTTGGCAGATTTGTTATATAATTATAATATGGGGCAGATGGAGAGGTGAGGGAGGAAAGGAGGGAGGAGAGGGGAGGGGAGAAGGAGAGAGGGGTAGGGGAGAGTGGGGGATGGGTAGGGAGGATTGTGGGTGTGGAGGGGTTGGAATGGGATGGATAAGGGGTTGTGAGGGGAATTGATGTAGTTTTGGCACCAGCTTGTTGTTTTTTGTGTTTTTTTGAAAGGTTTGTGCTGTTGGAAGATTACTTCTGGGTTTCTGAATACAGTTTCTGAATTAGTATAATTTAGAGAATCGGGGCAAAAAGAATATCCGAAGGCTATTTCAGAAATAACTATGGATATGATTAGAATCATTTCAAGTAAATAAAATTTATTATCATATAGAATTTGAAGTTGTCTACGACTTTATCGAATTTTGGAGAGAACTTGGGGCTCTCACAACAAAGCCTGAGCTCCAAAAAGTAAAATAATGAATATTTCCAGAGTTACACCATGACTTGCTGGGATTACATCTGGAGACCACTTTTGTTCTATAATATCTTGGGCACATTATTAGTTTTTGCAGGCTATAGTGAAGATGACTCAGATTACTTCGTTTTCCCACTTGCATGCTCAGTATATATTTTTACAAATATTTTTGTCCAGAGGACTAAGAAGAGCTACATTGGGTTGATAGTCTATTTCTCTTTCTTCATCTTAATTGTGACTAACTTGAGTGTGACTAGTCCTTCATACCAATATAATGAATGCTGGAGTGTTATGAACATGATATTTATTATCATAGCTATCGCATTTTGTCTAGAATGGAGAAGGATAACTAAGGTATTTTTGATGGCCAAACTTTACTACCTTTTGAACATCTACTATTTCTATGGTTCTATGTCGTTTATGGCATTGTTTTGCTTTGGGTTTGAGATCATCTTAGTGTGCATAATCACAATTGCTCTTTCCAAAATTGTTTTGAGTTTCATTGAAATGAATATCAAAATTCAACACTTGTTGAAGACTATCAGAAAGCTGCTCGAAGTTTTCCCAGAGCCAGTTATTATTGAATCATTGGACCCTGAGGCCAGAGAAATTATCACTAAATTTACTAATGATGCAGCTAAGAAAGAGTTCTTTGACAAAAAGAAGGAGCAAGAGAATCAAAGTATTGTCCTTTATTTTTGGTTCAAAAGAAATTTAGAGATTAGAATAATGTTTTTAAGGATTTATTCTAAAATTTCTTGTAGTTTCTATTAATTTTCTATTTTTGCCACTTAAAAATATTTAAATGCCCATTTTCTAACAACTCTTATCTCTTCCTCTTGACTATAACACAATAATCTTCCTCCAAAAATTCTAAAATTCCCTAAATCCTACCCCTTCCCTAACCACCCCAAAACCCCCCTCCCCCTCCAAACTCCAATCCCCCTCTCCCAAACACCCACCCCCTCTTTCCTCCACCCCACCTATACTCCCCACCCTCCCTTCTAAAATCCCCTAAATTCTCTCCATGACTCAATTTCTCACTGGTTCTATAGGCGTTTCTAAATTCTTAAAGGCACAAAGAGATTTACTTCGGTCTTTAAAGTCTGAAGTCTGTAGTGAAATCGAGAGTATTCTTTTAATAATCTTTTAGTCCAGCAAGCTGATACTTCTGAAGCTAGACACTTTAATGCTAAAACTATTACAGTCGAATGGGAATCTGACAAACAAGCATCCATGCACGTTTTTACAAATATGACTGATGTAAAATAAACTTGAACATGAGAAAGCAGTCAATAGATGTTTGCATCTCATGTTTTCATCAGTTTCTCACGAGCTTAGAACACCTCTAAACGCCTTCAAGCATGCAATTGAGTTCATGAAAACCTCGTATGATGAGTATAAAGAGAGTATTCGTAGAGGTGTATTAGGGCAGAGTTTGAAAAAGACTGATGAAATCTTCAACAAGTTCCATAAAATTGCATCAATATCTTCTTCTACTCTGCTTTATCTGGTAGAAGATATTTTGGATTTAGCAAAGATTGAATCAGGCAAATTTTCTCTATCTATACATCCATTCAAGATAAAAGATCTAGCTAATGAAGTTGAATTTATCTTTGGATTCCAATGTGCTCAAAAATAAACTAAAATTCGTGATAAAATATGATGGGTATGATAATGAAGCTAGAGATCCGGGTTCCACTATTGTAAATTCTGATATAGGAAGAATAAAACAAGTTCTTATTAATCTTATCTCTAATTCTTACAAATTTACACAAAAAGGAGGTATCTTTGTGACAATCTCACATGAAAAGCAGTTTGATTTTGATTCTTTCGAGTATCAATCTATGCTTAGATTCACAGTGAAAGATACAGGAATTGGGATTCCAAGTGAAATGCAAGCAGACTTATTCAAAATCTTCGGAAAAGTTGCTCAAAGCGACAAGAAAATTAATGTGGAAGGCTCTGGCCTTGGCCTGAATATTTCCAAGAAACTAGTCAAAGCCTTAGGAGGCAGAATTGACTTGATCTCAGAAGAAAAGAAAGGAACAGAAGTGACATTCACTGTCAAAAATCATCCTCACGCACAAAGAGCCTTACCAAGAGAAGTAGGTCTAAATTTTGAGACATCAAGTGGCTCTTACAACATCAGTGAAGAACCTCTCGCAATAAGCAGATTGAACAAAATCCGCAAATTCTGCCCTCGAGAGTCACGATTTACTAAATAATCACCAATTCAACTTCTCCTGCTTATCTCGGGGTTTTGGGGTTTTGGGGTTTTGGGG